GATGGGGGGCTCGATCTCATGAACTGTGAGATCATACATAACCTGAGCCAAAACCAAGAGTAGGATGCTTAACTGACTGAGCCACCCAGGCACCCCCCCCCCCCCCCCGCAGCACTTTCTAATCTGGTCTGCTTTCCTGGTCTCCTCTGAGGTTTTACTCCTCTGAGGTTCTAGCACATGCTCAAACATCCCCTCTGTTTCTGCCTTTGCAGGTAACTCAAAATTGGAAAATTAAATCTATGTTCTCCTTCCACCAAACTACCCCTGCCAACAGGATTCCTGGGTCCCTGGGGCAGAGGCTTCAGGGAGGGGCAGGGCCTGGCTACGGTGGGTGTTCAGACCCCCCCAGCCGCCCCCCAGCAGGGAATGAGCCTGCAGAGGCAGCCTCCCCATAAGCACAGCCTCTGTCTGCATCAGCGGCAAACAGTTTCCCTTGCACCTCGCAGGGAAGTGTTAATGAGGAGAGCGGTGGGGAAGGGTTGCGCCTGCCTGTGGTTCTAACAGTTTGCTCCTTTTGGCTCAAAGGGACTGAGGAGCTGACACACGTCTTCTTGAGGGTAGGACAGTTACCATAATAAAGAATGTGTGCACATTTATACCGGCCAACTAACCAAAAGTGCCCAGTGCAAGCATTTCTAAAGCAAAGACTCCTGCACGAGCACAGCTGTCAGAATGCAGCTCAACCCACAGGTCAAGGCCAGTGTTGAAGGCTAAGGTTTGCCTCTCCCATGGTTGAGGTCCCTGGGGAGGACCCAGCCCCTCCACAGCCCCTACCTTTGCACTCAGGTCCAAAGCAAAGTTCCTCCCATCTGGGAGGGAAGGGATGCAATAAACCCACAGGTTTGTCCAGAAGGTAACCAAGCCCGACTGAAGTGAGGCAGGGGACTGTCCTGCTTGAGCTCGGGCTCCGCCCACCTGCAGCCTCCCAGGGGAGGAGGAGGGCACAGTACAGAAGGATGTTCTTGTCAAGCACCGGTCCTGGATTACAGTCCTGGCACTCTTCCCCTGGCCCCCATCTCACACACTTGCCTCTTTCTACGGCACAATCTATGGGTTGAAGAGGAGAAAGACTCTGGAGGCCTCCATCCAGAAACCAGAGCCAGGTGGGGAAAGAGTATAACAACCCCCAAAGTCTGTTCAGAATCTACTGCAACCACACCCAAGGTCAGCACTAACTAACAAGGGAGCAGGAAACGGGAAGAAAAAAGAATCAAGACGCTGCCCCTGCCCATAAGGAGCTATGTCTAAAAAGATGGGCTGGGGCGCCTGGGTGGTTCAGTCGGTTGAGCGTCCGACTTCGGGTCAGGTCATGATCTCATGAGTTCGAGCCCCACGTCAGGCTCTGTGCTGACAGCTCGGAGCCCTGGAGCCTGCTTCAGATTCTGTGCCTCCCTCTCTCTCTGCCCCAACCCACTCGCATTCTGTCTCTGTCTCTCTCAAAAATAAATAAACATTAAAAAAAATTAAAAATAAATAAAAATAAAAAGATGGGCTGAGTAGAAAAAGCAGCTAAGAGTAAATAAAGGTGATACATGAAAGGTCCTCATCAGGAACTGCATAGTGCTTGCAGCCAGGGACGGTGAGGGAGCAGTGCTCCTTAGACACCGGGGTTTTTGTTCCACTGAGGGGACGTTATGAGGGAGGAGACTGGAGCCCAAAGGTTGAGAGGCTGAGGAGGAGAAGTTTGGGGAGAAAGAGAAAGTATCTGGCAGCCTCGGGAGACAGAAAGGTTTGGGAAAACATAGATATTTTAAGTGGGACTTAAACTCCTCAACGTAACTTTGCACAAAACCTTCATAAAATCCACCTGTCAGTTGTTTTGGAGATGAATTAATGTCAGGAGCCCCACTGATGGATTGAAGGCGGCTCAGATGGCCAGAGCTGGGGCGGGCAAAGGGGGTTCAGACACTCCTGGATTACAGCAGAAAGTGGGGTCTGGGTTTCCAGGAGGGGAGGCGGCTAAGGGCTTGGGCAACAGGGAAGGGAATGCTTTGCCGGGCCTGCCTGGCATGACGGCTATGGCAGGAGGGGGAGGGCTCTGAGGAGAAGAACATTCTTATAAGAAAAAGCTGTAAGAGGATGCAAAGCTACCAGAACGCCTCAAGCCTGAACCAGTGGAAGAGTCTTCTGGCAGACAGAGTGAGGGGCAGAGGGCGGTGGTAAGACGTAAGTCACTAATTCTAGTCTCTTCCAGCCTGTATATCAGTGGATGTGACCTATCTCACAAAAGAGCTGCGTAGGTTATTTATCATCTCTCACTTGGACTGGTAAATAACCCCCAACAGGGCTCCTGCCTCCAGCCTCTCCATCCCTCCAATGTATTTTCCACACACAGTGATGCTAGCGTAATCTTTTAAAAGTCCAGCTCTCACGATTTCACTCCTGTTTAAAGTCCTTCACGGGGCACCTGGGTCAGTTAAGCATCCGACTTCGGCTCTGATCATGATCTCACGGTTCCTGAGTTGGAGCCCCGTGTCAGCCTCTGTGCTGACAGCTCGGAGCCTGGAGACTGTTTCAGATTCTGTGTCTCCCTCTCTCTCTGTCCCTCCCCCACTCACGCTCTGTCTCCCTCTGTCTCAAAAATAAACATTAAAAAAAATTAAAGTCCTTCAATGACCGCTCATCACCCAGCCACCAGAATTAACCTAACTCCTGAGCAACGCACACAGCACTTCATAATCAGGCTCTGTGCCTCTTTCCAGCTTTGTCGTGGTCACTTTGCCCTCATCCCTCGAACTTCACCACACTGAACTACGCACAGTTCCTCTAACACAATTTGCTTTTTCACACCTCAGGGCCTTTGCATATGCTTCCCTCCCACCCTTTGCTTGAAATGCTTACTTCGGCTCAACTGGCAGCACCCCAGAAGCCTTCTGTGACCCTCTCTTCCCATTACTATATTCTCACAGTACCTCTTATACAACTCTCAGCTGGCACTCGCACACTGTATTCTTCACAGTCAGCACCTAGCACAGGGCCTAACTCATTGCTGGCGTTCACAAAATGTTCGATAAATGACTGAACTCACAACTCAAAAAGACCCACACAGAAGACACCCTTGGCAGAGTCTCTCTCGCTGACACCCCCTTTCCTCTGAGAACTGCCCCAGGTGTCATGTGGACCAAAGGTGGACATTTGACCTAAACTGGGCCAAACAGATCCCCTCTTGGGAAAGTGGAATTGGCTCCAAGGGAAGTAAGTTTGTTTCTGGAACTACAACATGCAAACTTTAGAATGTAAATTTTCTGAGGCATGTCCACCCCACCGTTCAAATCGTGCAGTAGGGAAAGTCACTCCCACAATAAAGAAAATAAAACAGCTGGCTAGAGGATTTCGGATGGCTTTCAGGTTCCCAGGTCCAGCCCTCTCCTCAGACCGTAAGACATTCCTATCCCCAGGCTCCGTGAGACACCCCTGTTTCCTAATAATGTCTGCTACTTTGTGTTTGAGATTCCAAACATTTCTGTTCCTGACCACATAAGCCGAATTCTGTCCTTGGCAGAGCTGCTTGGGGATTCTTTTCTTCAAAAAATTTTTATGTTAATACATAAACCACACTTGGGCATAGATTAGACTGTAAATCAATAAACCCGTGCAGAACTAGCAACATGATTTACAGGGCCCGATGCAAAATGAAAATACCCTTTGTTCAAAAAGTACAATTAAAGGTCCTAAAATACAAAGCTTTTTCTTCTGTAGTCTCTCTTTTGACTTGTCATGGTATTTATTTGCTATTTAATGGCTACATAAATAAATATTAACATTTTATTTTTTTAATGTTTACTTATTTTGAGAGAGAGAGACAGAGAGACAGAGAGAGAGAGACAGAGCATGAGGGTGGGGTGGAGCAGAGAGAGAGACACACATAGAATCTGAAGCCAGCTCCAGGTTCCGAGCTGTCAGCACAGAGCCTGACTCAGGGCTTGAACTCACAGACAGGAGGTCATGACCTGAGCCGAAGTCAGAAATCCAACAGACCGAGTGAGCCACCCAGGCGCCCCAATAAATATTAACATTTTAAATCATTAACATAAATTTTATCATTTATCTTTATATTGCATAATACGTGTATGGAGAATCACCAACATACACAATCTGTGTTTCTTGGTTTCTCCTGGAAGATATGTCAAGCCGGCCAAAGAGCTGAGCCTAAGTCCCCCGCAGGCACTGAGCTGTGTGATGGAGAATTCCATCAGATACTGGGAGACTTTCCGGGGCAAGTGCAGCCCCTCAAAGCTCCTGAAGTTCCCAATCTGAGACTCTGGCCCAGCAAGCTTGACAGCTGCTGGGTCCATCTTCCCATCAGCCCCCCCGTCCACGTGCTATGTCCTGGCTGGAGTCAGGGAGGTTAAGCCAGACATCTCCCATTACAGTGGACTGGCCAACCCAACCCACAGCAGACAGGTGAATCCCAGGGTCTTTAAACCTCCACACCCAGATGTGCTTAGCATCTGGTGGGCAAGAGACTCACCCTCACCAACTCACTTGCTGAATGTGCCATGGATCTGCCATTCTGGGGCAGAAATGGCAACCATCATGCCTACCTCTAAGATTTTACAGAACATGCACACACCGTTGACCCCCCCTGCATGCACACCGGCCCACACCAGCCCTCACCAAAGGCAGGAAGCAGCACTGTTCACTGGGTGAGGGAGGGGGAGGCTGGGTCTCAGGGCACCAGCAAGCTGGGAAGTGAGTGGTCAAGAACCCATCCAGGGAGGAGGGTAGGCTTCAGTAGCCGGTACCAGGCATGAGCCAAGGCTCCAAGCCCCTGGCACAGGCTCCGAAGACCCATCAGGTTTCACTTGTAATACACACCTTCAAAACTAAGAATTTCAAGGCCTTGGCTACAGAGCACTAAACCCTGAGTGCCGGGCTCTTCTGCTCATGGAACCATGTGTAACTATGCTGCTCATACACCCTGTACACACGAGAAAGCTCTCTAAATCCCATTAAATTACAGAAGCACAGAAAGCTGAAGGAAAAGAAGGAAAACACACTTCAGATAATATTGACAATCTTTAGAGCACTCAGACCCACAAGCCATTAATATCATGCCCATCTCATCTGAAGGACAAGCTAAAGAGCAGATGTCTTCACTCCCTTCCATCTAGACTGTTGAATTGACCAGAAGATGCGGTATGTGTGGATAAATCAGAAGTAGATTTCTAAGCGTTTTCAGGTTTTATTCCAAAATACAATGCCTTTAGCCATTCAAAGGCTATTTCGTGAAAGTACATAGAATCCTATCAAAGCAGCAAAGAGGAGGAAAAATTACTAGTTTCCTTTGCCCTAATAACTTAGGCTTTTATGGCTGGACAATTCAACATGAGTTTCCCTTCTCAGAGGCTTATATAAAAAACTTTCTGTTGGCATTGGCTCCAAACAAAGCCTTTCGTATATCAGGCATCTTTTGCTGGGCTAAGAGATCCAGTCGGCTTTCTAGGGTATTCGAAACCTTTATTCTCTGACTGCCGCTGTAGACCTCCACTCCTCCAGCTGTGTTGGCAGCCAGGTGCACCTCTTGATCCACTTGGACTTCCACACATTTGTGGGAGACCATCATGTATTCAGGGATGGCTTTTTGCACTGCAGCCTCCACCAGGAGGAGGTCCTGTGGCCTGCAGCGTACAATTGCCACGGGCTCCAGCAGTCGGAGCAGACCCTGAAGCACTAGCTTATCCAGCAGCCCCTGGTAGATTGCTGGATCTGCCACAATCCCACTAAGTCTCAGCTTTGCGTCATTCAGCAACTCTGAGATGAGGTCATCTCGGGCTCTCAGGACTTTCAGCCTTGCCTGATTCCTCACGGTAGACATCTGGATCTTCTTCTGCTGCTCTATCTGCTTCTCCTTCTTCTCGTAATACTCCATAATCTTCAGTCGTTGGGTTTGCACAAGATGTCCTTTCTCAATGTTGAACTCTTCCTCAGACTTGGCATCTATTTCTTCGGCCTTCTCATTGGCTTCCTGCTCAATGAAAGCCATCATGTGCTTAATCTGCTTCTGCACATCGACATCACTCAAAGCCATGGTTGTTCCTGGAAAGGGAGGCAGAGGGAGAACCGGCAGTCCCTCTGGTTCCTTTGATTTAGGACTGCGTTTCAGGAATGACCTTGGAGTTTCACTTCCTTAGCTATGGAGTGCATAAGGGAAGGAAGGAGAGAGTCAGAATCCAAAAGGAAGGATTGCGAAGATCATCTATCACTGTTCATTTCACAGATGAGGAAACTGAGACCCAGGAAGGAAAAGCAACCTGTCCAAGATCATACCCTATAAGAAAAGAGATGTGAACACAGGTTCCCAGAGTTCTACCTCTGCTACACTCAACACTTTTGCATCATCAAATGATTAGAAAATTAGGGTATGCTTAGTCCAGAAGATTTTTAGACAGTGATGGCTTAAGACTCAAATAGCAAGTTGAAGGGATGAAATACCAAATTAACACAGAAATGGGAAGTGTATGTCCATTTTGGTCTGGAGTGGGCTGGGGAGAAGTATAAGAAACTCACTGTCAGATGGGATTCAATCCAGGAAGGCTGTCTAGAGGCAGAAGGGTTTCAAGACCCCTCAACTAATACAAAAAAGCAGAATACTAGTAGACAGATGATGACATCTTGGAGAGAACTGGGAGTGGGAGGGGTTGGGGGTAGTCTTTTCACCTTTTCACTGGAAGTGTACATTTGAATCACCTAGGGAAACTTTCAGAAAAACAGATTTCTAGGCCCCACTACAGACCACTGAATTAGAATCTCTATCAATAGGGTCTGACAATCTACATCTTAAAAAGCCTTCCTGGGATGCTTAATGAGCTCAGAAAAAATATACATGAACAGAATAAGACTAGCAACAAAGAGATAGAAAGTATTTAAAAGAACCAAACAAATTTTGGAGCTAAAGAATGTAACTGAATTGAAAAATTCACTATAGGAGTTCAACAACAATCTTAATTTAGAGAAGAATAAACCAACAAATTCAAAGACAGGTCATTTGAAATTATCCAGTCAGAGATACACATTAAAAAAAACAGTTTAAGAAAGCCTAAGGGACATATGGGATATTGATAACTGAATCAACATATGCAATATGGGAGTTCCAGTGACAGAAAACTTATTTGAAGAAACACCCCAATGTTGGAAAAAGGAAATGGACATCCATGGTCACAAATGAAAATGAGAAAGGAATCAAGACACATCACTAAAACCAGTCAACAAAAAGGAAGGCAGCAGGAGAGGAAGAGGAGCAAAAAAGCTACAAGACATATAGAAAACAATGAACAAAATGGCAATAGCATGTTCTTCCCTATCAGTCATTACTTTAAATGTAAATGGAGTAAACTCCCTAGAGTGGCTGAATAGGTAACCTTCTTTTAAAAAAGGATTCAAGGGGCACCTGGGTGGCTCAGTTGGTTAAGCATCTGACTTCAGCTCAGGTCATGATCTCATGGTTTGTGGGTTCAAGCCCCATGTCGGGCTCTGTGCTGACAGCTAGAGCCTGGAGCCTGCTTTGGATTCTGTCTCTCTCTCTCTCTGTTCCTCTTTTGTTCTCTCTCTCTCTCTCTCTCTCAAAAATAAATAAACATTTAAAAAAATTTTTTTTAAAGATTCAAATACATGCTGTCTTTAAGATACTCACTTTAGATTTAAGGACACACATAGGATGAAAACAAAAGAATGGAAGGAGATATTCTGTGCCAATAGTAACCAAAAGAGAGCAGGAGTGGCCATACTTAGGTCATATAAAATAGTTTTTAAGTTAAAAACTGTTACAAGGGACAAAGAAGGATATTTTATACTGGTAAAAGATAATTTTACTAGGAAGATGTAATAATTATAAATATAGATATATGCACCCAATATCAGAGCACCCAAATATATGAAGTGAAAGTTATCAGAACTGAAGGGAGTAATAGACAGCAACACAATAATATTAGGAGATTTTAATACCCCATTTTATTAATGGGTAGAATATCCAGACAGAAGATCAACAAGGAAACAGAGGGCTTGGAACAAAAATATAGACCAAATGGTCCTAACAGACATATAGACATACACAGAACAGTCTACCCAACAACAGCAGAATCCACTTTCTTCTCAAGCACACATGGCACATTTTCAGCATAGATCATGTTAGGTCATAAAACAATTCTTAACAAATTTAAAAATATTGAAATCATATCAAGTATCTTTTCTAACCATGATGGAATGAAACTAGAAATCAATAGCAGAAGGAAAATTGGGAAATTCACAAACATAGAGAAATTAAACAACACACTCTTAACCCATGGGTCAAAGAAGAATCCAAAGGGGAATTAGAAAATATCTTGAGATAAAAATTAAAATACAATATATCAAAATTTATGGTATGCAACAAAAGCAGTACTAAGAGGGAAGTTTATAGCAGTAAATGCTTACATTAAAAAAAAAATAGTCAAGGGGCACCTGGGTGGCTCAGTGGGTTAAGCGTCTGACTTCGGCTCAAGTCGTGATCTCACGGTCTATGAGCTAGAGCCCTGCATCTGCTCTGTGCTGACAGCTCAGAGCCTGGAGCCTGCTTCAGATCCTGTGTCTCCCTCTCTCTCTGCCTCTCCCCCACTCACCCTCTCTCTCAAAGATAAACATTGTTTAAAAATTTTTAAAAAGATAGTCAAACAGTCTAATTCTATACCTCAAGGATCTAGAAAAAGAACAAACTAATCCCAGAATTAGCAAAATAAAGGAAATAAAGCAATAAAACTAAAAGTTGGTTTTTGAAAAGATGAACAAAATTGACAAACCTTTAGATGGACTAAAAAACAAACAGAGAAGACTCAAAATCAAAATGAAAAAGGAGTACTAATGCAGTCACAGAAATACAAAAATAAAAAAGGATTATAAGAGACTACTATAAACAGTTATACACTGACAAATTGAAGAAACTAGAAGAAATAGATAAATTCTTGGAAATATACAACTCACCAAGACTGAATTATGAAGAAACTGAAAACCTGAACATATCTATATAGTAAGGGGATCGAATCAGTAATCAAAAGCCTTTCAAAAAACAAAAGCCCAGGACCAGATGGGCTTCACTGGAGAATTCTACCTAAAATTTAAAGATTAATGCTAATCCTTCTCAAACCCTTCCAAAAAACTAAAGAATGGGGAACACTTCCAAAGTCATTTACGAGGCTGGTACTAACCTCATACCAAAGCCAGACACTCCAAGAAAAGACAACTACAGGCCAGTATTCCACTGAACATAGATGCAAAATCCTCAACAAATACTAGCAAACCGAATTCAACAGAACATTAAAAGAATCATACACCATAACCAAGTGGTATTTATCCCCACAGCGCAAAGATGGTTCAACATACAAAAATCTATCAATGTGATACACCGCATTAACAGAATGAAGGACAAAATCACATGATCATTCCAAAAGATTCAGAAAAACATTGAACAAAATTCAGCATCCTTTAATGATAAAAACACTCAAAAACTAGGAATAGAAGGAAATTACCTCAATTTAATACAGGCCATATATGAAAAGCCTACAGCCAATTTCATACTCAATAATGAAAAACCAAAAGATCTAAGTCTTTCCTGTAAGAAAGATCTAAGTCTTTCCTCTAAGGTCAGGAACAAAACAAGGATACCAACTCTTGCCACTTTTGTTCAACATACTATTGGAAGTCTTAGCTATAAGCAATTAGACAAGAGAAAAAAATAAAAGGTTTCCAGATCAGGAGAAAAGAGGTAAAATGATCTCAGATGACATAATCTTGTATCTAGAAAACCCCAGTGATTCCACAAAAAAACTGTTGGAATAAAATAATTCAGCAAGTTTGCAGGATACAAAATCAACATACAAAAATCAGTTTCTATACACTAATAATGAATGATGCAAAAAGGAAATTAAGGCAACAATTCAGTATAATGCTAAGAGAAATAAATCAGTCAGAGACAGACAAATACCATGTGATTTCATTCATATGTGGAACTTAAGAAATAAAACAAATGAATAAACGGGAAAAAAAGAGAGAGAGAGAGAGAGAGAGAGAGAGAGAGAGAGAGAGACAAAAATCCAGATGCTTAAATACAGAAAACAAACTGGTCCTTGCTAGAGGGGAAGTTGGTGGGGTGTGGGTAAAATAGATAAAGGGGATTAAGAGTAATGAGCATTGAGACATGTATAGAATTGTTGATGATTCGTTATATTGTACATCTGAAACTAGTATAACACTGTGTTACATATTGGAAGAAAAAAAAGATGAAGCCAGTTGATAATGTATGTAAAGTGCTTAGAACAATGCCTTGGAACATAATAAGTGCTATTATTATTTCTACTACTAAAAAAACAAAAAGGAAGAAAGAAAGAAAGAAAGAAAGAAAGAAAGAAAGAAAGAAAGAAAGAAAGAAAAAAGAAAAGAATCCTATTTAAAATATCATCAGAAAAGAACAAAATACTAGGAATGAACTTAACCAAGGACACCAAATGCTTGTACACTAAAAACTACAAAACACTGCTGAAAGAAACTAAATTAAGACACAGATAAATGTAAAGACATCCTATGTTCATGCATTAGAACACTTAATATCAAGATGTTCATACTAACCAAAGCCATCTACAAATTCAATACAATCTCTACGAAAGTCCCAATGACATTTTTTTGAAGAAAGAAAAAAAATTCTAAAATTCATATGGAACCACAAAGGACCCTGAATAGCCAAATAATCTTGAAAGAGAACAAAGTCAGGGGCCTTACTCAAAACATATTACAAACCTACAGTAATTAAAACGGTATGGTACTGGCATAAAGACACAAATATAGACCAATGGAGCAGAATACAGGCCCTAGAAATAAACCTACACATATATCATACATGATCTCTGACAAAGGTATCAATACCACACAACAGGGAAAGGACAGTCTCTGACAAATGATGCTAGGGAAACTGGATATCCACATGCAAAAGAATAAAATTGGACCTTTATCTCACACTATACACAAAAGTCAACTAAAAATGTATTAAAGACTTAAACATAAGACCTAAAAGT